AAGGACCCGCGACTTGGGTCCATCAGGGAACAAATGTAACAACTTTAAGAGATTTTCACACGCTCTCTTGCCGTTAGGACAGTAACGGGTTGTTATTCTTACTTTTGTGTTCTAAACAACGAGAACCGCCTTATTCTTTGCATAAGCTACTTAATCTTGTGTTGTGGTTCTGTATCGTATTTTATTTGCTTAAATTTCTGTTAAGCGTTTCGTAATATTTTGCTTCTCGTATCCATTACGCTGTTCTTTGCATGATATTGTCGAGGTTCATGCTTTGGACAGAGTTAGTAAACACAGGTGAATGATAAAATTCAATTTAGAATACAAATAGCCCTCACTGGGGTGGGTCTTAAAGTAAACAATGTACACAATAATTTTATGGCCCATCGTAAGTGTAATCGGGCGTTAAGGGAAGGTTTTCATGTGCCAAAACGGTGCAACAATACGGGGTGAATAAGGCATGACATCGGGAGCAGCACACACAGCTGCTTGGTTGGTTAAAGTTTCTATATCTTAAATGAAGTCCGTTGATATTGAATCTAGTATTTTTTCTAAACTCGACCCAATGACATTTTAATCGATACCTGTGTCACTGACAATCAACTTGACTAGTGTTTTGAGTCCGGTTTTCGTCTAGTTTCCCCCGCAGATTTACTGCTGCTCGATGTCATATAATCTGGCATAAGCGTAACATAGCTAGACTTGTTGCTTGGCAACCATCTGCTGAGGGTGCTGTGACGTAATTTCTAGACACTTTTTTTTTTTTTTTTGCAGTACGTAGATGGATGGATCTTATAATTATGACGGATGTAATAGGCGGTATCAATTTTTCAGTGAAATTCCACTAAGCTCTATCCGTGAAAGATGAAAGATAAGATTTTAAATCCAATGATAAGTGGTTATATGGTAGTGGCCAAGCACAAAATATCATTTGCCATACCTGTGAGGACATTAATGCTGTAATTATCTACATTATATTTTAATCGAAGCACAAAGATCTGTCAACTGTTAATTTGCAATACTAACATTAGGTCCGTCCTCAGAATGAAACTTGTCCAAATTATTGTCTGATTGTCAATTTTGAGACATACATATGCGCGTTGTTTATCATCATGCTGTCATTGCATTAAGGACTGCAGTTCATTTTTATGTTGGATGCCAATAGTTCCATATAGTCTTAAACCGGCATACATGTACACCGTACATTTTGTGCTGTCAAGAAAAACGGTAAAGTGGGAGTGATTCGAATACAAACTCAAATAGTATCAAATCGCGTTTTGTACCTTCCTAAAATGAATTCATTAAAATTTCAACAGGTTCGAGAAAATCGGACAAAAAGAAAAAGTAAAATCAATTATTATATGGTAGAAAATCTCTAACAATGCTGATGAAAACATCATTATTTTTTAACGTTTTTGAGTTTGAGGTGAAGAAGTTCAGACCATTAACTGGACACCTTCCCGCCCAGTATTGGTAATAGTAAAATAGTTCAATAAGTAGGGAATCATTGTGTGCATTTTGTTAATGTCCATTAAATTGCTCTAGTCGAATAATGGCTAGTTCATTATCATATTATGGATGTAATGGGACAATTAATGACTCTTCTCTGGTGATTAACAGTCCGTGAAATGGTAGCCTCACGCCCCCAGGCTTTTAATGTTGGAGCGAATTACTAGTCTGTCATACTTATTTACGATATTTTGTTGAGATAGTTAGGTGAAATAAAATTATGCTTGCGTTTAATTTTTGTAATTTTCAAATCCTCTAATGTCATTCGCTACGCAGATAACTATGTTATTAAAAAAATATTAGTTTAAGAAAATTCAATTCAATTTTATATGTATCAAAAAAAAAAAAAACATTTTAACTAAAATTATTAACCTGTGTAAGTTTTACAAGCATTTGTATATTGTATGGGTATATCAGGTTTATTTAGCTTGTTTTTTTTAGATATCTGTTGTTGGCATTGGAAAGAAATGAGGCCCTGTATGAAAAAAACACGTAGTTTCGATGACATGTGAATTTATGGAAGCACGACAACCCTTCAGCTGTGGTAGAGTCGTGTGGGCGCTACTTGAATATCTACATCTGTAATTTGAAAAGAACACAAGATACTACTATTAAAGTGAAAGACATGTTTACGTTGAAACAATGGAAATTAATCCACGTTTGTTTCGGGCGGGTGTCCGCAACCGCGATAAGACCCCATTCACCTGCTACCTAAAGACGCATGTCTCACGGGCACCTGTTGGCAACTGAACAAAACCTATATATCAGAGGAAAATATCGCGGCACGGTCGCATTACGCGTGTCAGTTTAATATTCCAATTTACAAATTGCTCGTATTATGTTCATAATCACTCGATGTCGACACGCTATTTGTCACCGCGTCCACGTGCATCTCGTCGTTGATTAAAAGCTACCGTGACGGCTCGGTCTTAATGATGGAGTGGAAGAGTGAGAGGGACCGTGTTCCCTGTGCCTGGCCACGTGCCTCTGGCATTATCTACCTATTGCGGTCACGTCATACCGACTTAAATAAGCATTCACTTACAAACTTTCACAGGGTTACAGTATTCCGGGTTTTGTCCATTGGCAACAGTGTTTTATGTTGCGCCAAGCATTGGGTTACTCACCCGCGACTCAAATATACCCATCAAATTGAAATATTAGGACCTTAGCTGACATCGGGTGACCTCGGATGTCATCGGGTCGCTGGACTGACAGCAAAGATTCCACTTGGTGAGGCACCTCGGGAGCTTGGCGTGTGAACCATGAAAATATAGCATCAATTATAAATAAAAGGTATGAAGCTCACCGGTAATTGAAATAAAGGCCAGCACGGTTGGTTTGCTTCACATTGGCCTGCGCTACTCACGCCATGGCCTTGTCGTCCAGCTGCCCCTACATGCTACGTGTAGCATTATTAAGAGAATTTGACAGACATCAATTTCACAACTTTAACTGAAATTTTTGACTCAATTCTTTTTTCCATTATGCTGAGGAAATGACTATGAAAAGCAATAACTGTTCCATTCTGAAAGGAAAAATAATAACACGTAGGCATTACTTCATCAGCCCTTTGTTTCTTCCAACAATGGAGCCCAAGCAGTTTTTTTCAACACTCTTAGTGTGACAGTTGAATAGACAGGTTTTTATTCTGTTTTCACTTGGAAATCCCTATTTTAAAACTTTCAGCTAAAATATCATAATATGTTAAATGCAGACTAGTGACAGATTATTATTTTGGGCAGAATATTTACGTTCTGGATGTTGATGAAATGATTGCGTGACTTGATATGGTATTTTCCAAGACAGAAAAAGATCAGCAGTCTATTTGCGTCTGTAGTACTTTGAGGTGCAGTAATACCAAGGTCAAAGCAAAGCTATTGTGTAGAGGAGTCATTGAAACGTTTTTATATATAATAACTTTGTGTGCCATGCCATAAATTATTTGCTCCAAATATACCGCACTGTAAGCCCGAAATGACGAAAAACTCCGGCAGATGAGAAAATTAATATCAGAATTGCGCGGAAATTGGGGGAAAATAAGTCCAAGAGAAATTGCTGTTTGATGATGATTACTTTGTCAACAGAATGATGTTCCCTCGCTCAATTAAGCTTTAGATAGGAAGAGAAAAATTATTAATAATCAACCTACCCAGTTTTATGTATACAACTTTGGAAATAGCCCTGGAATAGCGAGATCAAAAGAGCTGAGACTAACAAAAACTACACTATTAACTCCTGGGCTTTTGTTATTAAAGTCGGAATGGCCTGTTTGACTGAATATCATTCCCGTTCAATTTAGTTACTGGTTCAACAGTTTCATCAACTGAATGTTTTCATATAAAATATTTATAATTGCGACATGCAAAATTTTATTCATAATATCAGAGATTTAAAAGTGTCAAACGAAAGGATTTGTATCAGTTCTTTGAATTTTCTCTCTCAAAATGCAAAAATAGATAATTAATAAGAATCTAAAAATATAGCATTACAGAAATAGAAATATTAGCCGTGTTGTAACGATAAAGTAACCATTTTGATTTAACCTCTCTTTTTACAGGAAACACACAGAGACAAAGGGTTGACACCTTTTAGAAAAGTTTACAGAATACTCGTGCGTCAATGGAGTGGAAAACACTGATTTATCCGAACAAGAAGAGAATATTTAGCAGTAGTTGGAAGAAAATTCATTATGGTATTTTTACTAATTTTTGAAAAAAATATTATCCTTTTTTTCCAAATCCAAAACAAGAGTTGCTTCTTAATGGCACTTTAAAAGTTTTGCGTTCGGTGCACTACCTAAGGTAATAATGCCGAGTGTTTCACTGCACGAGGTGAATAGAAAGTGTGAACCGCAATCTGCTTAAGAGAACTTTGGGATTTAACCTCACAAAACAGCCCCGCGGTGAACAACGCGTTCTTATACTAAGTTTCCACTGTAAGTCTCACAGTAAAGTCACCGAGTTAAAGAAATATTAAATGAAGGAGGTGAAGGATTATTTTTGTTTAGGCGACTTCTTCCATACCCCGCTCCATGACCAATTATAAATCGGTCGCAAACAGAAGACTCTGCTTCGCCTTTTCGTGGGAAATGGTACTTTTGAGGATTAAGCGTTTCGTCATTATAGTAAGCACTTTTGTAATTAACAAATTGGCAAAGAATTTAAGGTACAACTTATTTGGGGTTTTGTGGGAAATCGTGCTTGTGAGATTAAATGACACTTATTCGTGGATGTTTTAAACACTTAATAATGCCGGACTGAGCTAAGTCTCTACTGAGAAAATACTTGAAGTAGATTCGGCATGGAAACTGCAAATGCCAAGAGAATATTTTATGCACACCGAGTAAGCATTAGATATTTAAGTAGAGCAGATATAACCTGGAGATCGCGTTTTTCTCAAAATGTATTGAGATAGATATACATTTTCTTAGACGACAACAAAGAAAACTCAAAATATTCAGATATTATTTTAAAATTGTATATTTTTCATTCGCCATAATATTTACCATGAAATCAAGATTAGACATCATTCAAACAACAACAAAGGGTGACCATTGAACACTTCAATATTAGCGTTATTAAGTCTAAATATGATATAATTCACATTTCACATGAAACAACTCTATAAATACTGGTTGTTGTCATGGTAATTCTCTGGGGTGAACGTAGTATTTTAATATAAAATACAAAAAAAAGTGAAACACAAATATATATGTATATTTTGTCATGTTAACGCTCTCACCGAATCGGCGTTTACAACGAATTAAAAAAAGGCATGACTTAAAGTCTACATATCAAGTGAAAACAGATTTGGCTGTGAAAATTGCGATAATATTCTTTGGTACTTATTTCTCTAGGGTCAGAGACAAATCTGCCCTAGCGTCATTGCCACTGAATGAGACACTAAGAATTCGTCTCTGTTTACAACAAAAAGGCCAGCGTGTATTTACAAATAAAAAAAGAAAAAAAATACAATAATAACGAACCTAATAAATCATTATAGTAACAATGAATTTCATGAGCTTGGATGTGACATGCAAAAATATACACGTGCATAAATAGAAGATGACAATGATGAAAATATTATACAAATAAGCGTAATAATTAAATAACTTTCAAAAATGAAAATCACTGCACATGTAGTGAGCATCGGAATAGAATAATCATTTTTGTATGAAAAATGGTGATAAATTTACGTTATGCACAGTAAAAGTCTTCACAGAAGTCTTTGTCATGCAGAGTATTAAGGTTGCCTTACGACTATAGGACTGTCTGACGTTGTTCCTAGGCCGGTCGCGGGGAAACCGAAGGCTGCGGACGCTGCGAAGGACGGGTGCTGAGATAAGGCCAGGCGTGAGTACACGTCCAGTCCCTGCGGCAGCAGCTGCCGCGTGCGCTTGAGCCAAGTGCGGAAAGAGATAGCCAGCCTGAGATGTCAAGGTAGCCGGGTTCAGTGGAGACGGGCTTGATAAACTAAGCCCGTTTCTTAGAGTTTGTGGCATAGCACTTCCCCCGTGAGTTGGGGCGGTGTCACTTGATAACAGTCTGTCTACGGAGAAATTGTTTGGCACCGGAGGACGAGTCGGGATCGCTGGCGGTGATGCCAATAAGCTGCCGTACGGATATCCAGCCATGGCTGCGCTATACCGGAGAGCTGTTTGTTGTGATAAAGATAGCATCGGCGAGATGGGCCAGCCGAACATGGGAGAGGACTTGTCTGACATTGTTGGGTACGGGTAACCCGGAGGCAAGAGACGTGGAATGCCCGTCCTTTTCAGAGCTGCGAGTCGACTGCGAGACGCAGCCGTGGAACGGCGTCGCAGTTTTCCTGTCGTCCCACCGATGAAGACGTCGTCGCATGATGGGTCCAGCATCCAGTAGTTACCTTTACCTGGGTCGTCGTAATGGCGAGGGACTTTCACAAAGCATTTGTTTAAGCTTAAGTTATGACGAATAGAGTTCTGCCAGCCTTGCTTGTTTTCTCTATAGTACGGAAAATTTGTCATGATGAACTCATAGATTCCATTTAAAGTTAGTCTCTTTTCTGGACTGCTTCGAATCGCCATCATTATCAGAGCGTTGTAACTAAAAGGCGGCTTTTCATATTTCTTCCCCCCTTCTTTCTCGTCTTTTGTGTCAGCATCTTTTGACTCGGTGTCTTTATCTTTCAAGTTGTCCCCCATCCCTTCATCTGCGACATTTTCCTTGTCGTCAACGTCGGAGTGGAATGTTTTTATTGTCTCTTCACTTTCGCCTGCTGCTTCACAGCTCTCCACGTCTACATCGCCATCATCCTCATTTACAACCTGCTCGCCGGGTACATTTTCTGGAGACGCCGGCATGGACGGCACTTGCTGAGGTTGTTCTTTCTCTTCATTTTCTTTCAGCGTGTCCCCTAACATACTGCTGATACTGAAGGAGCTGTGGAGCTTTGTGCCACTGCTAACTTTCGTCTCCATCATGATTAAATGTTCAACAGTCTTCAGTCTGCTTCAAGATGGAATGGATAGTGTCGGATCAGAGAAAAAAAAAGACGCCACGACGTCAAAACTTGAGCCTGTTACACCAGTGTTGTGGCAATCATCGACCTCATGGAAGTGTGGATATCGTCGAAAGTTGATTCCTGCTTATGTCTTCTCTCTGTGTGCAAGCACGTCAGTGTGAAGTTTTCAAACACACTTCCACAGGTTTATATCTACCTCACAGTATGTTGTTGTTGTTCGTGGTACATCCAATCACAGCTAGTATGACTCCGCCCCCTGCTTTAAACACGTTCAAACAATTCAACCAATAGTGTATAGGCAGCATTCAGCGGAACAATATCCGATTGGTCGATCACGCCCTTGATACGATAACAAACGCCAGGCTTTTCAAAACCGGCTGACATTTAGAATAAATTGTTTATGTTTGACAGACTAACAAATTGCTACAGTGTCGTTTGCGTTATTGTAACCATTCGCCGTTACAGCACCCGAGGTAATGGCTATTTAAAATTTATGAACAAGCAATAAACTTAGGGTTCATCCACGTAAACGGAACTTCCCGGCTTTGATTCAGAAATTCGACGAAGCGTTTCAAAAAAGCGAGTCAATCTATTAGGGAGATGATTTATGTTTCATCAAAGACGGAAGAAAAATAGCACGGGGAAANTTACAGCACCCGAGGTAATGGCTATTTAAAATTTATGAACAAGCAATAAACTTAGGGTTCATCCACGTAAACGGAACTTTCCAGCTTTGATTCAGAAATTCGACGGAGCGTTTCAAAAAGCGAGTCAATCTATTAGGGAGATGATTTATGTTTCATCAAAGACGGAAGAAAAATAACACGGGGAAATTAACCAGGTACCGTGCCTTAACAACAAATAAACACACCTCGCGCGCGCGCGCTAATGACTTTTCTTAATTGGGTATTGCCTGCAAACTAGATACATATCGTTAATAATAGTTCCCTTAGGTATTAGAAATACATAATAATTTGGCATCTCCTCCCCCTTACATGAGATAAGGAAAACACCATATCGTGCAGCTGGAGATTTAGAGAAAAGCATCTGCTTCGTACAAGTCAGCGTAGTTTTGACGTGTTTTTCTTTGTACACTTTACATTTTTACAGACGCGCGTGATGACGGGTGCAGATGATGACATACCGCATGATCACATAAAAAGCATTGACGTTTGTTTTAAGACATTTTCTCAACTCACGCAGTAGGTCCATTTTGTTTGGGGATATTTTTCCGTTTCTAAAGTCATTTCGCGAGAAAAAAAACTCAATCGCAAATATAATAATACTTTTATATTTGATATAAAAGTGTTATTATTATTAGTATTATTATTTATTTCCTTTTTTATAATGTTTTTTTTAAATTATAGAGCTGAAGTATGAGTGGAACATTGCTTTTATGTCGCTCTAAAATGAAGCCAATAAGTTTTTAAAATAAAAGTTACAACAACAAAAATCATTGCCTTTTCATAGTGCTTTAACTCTATGTGCGGATGATAAACCTTGATTTTACTTTAAATCAAAGCGGGTATGTTAATTAGATGTAAGCTTCCAGAGGTTTTGGCATCAAAGGGGACGTGGAAAACGACTGAGCATCTTGTAACATATATTTATATTCATACAAATCAGTTATCAGAAGACAAAAACGTTCCACAGACATATCCGATAATGCTAAGAGTTATCGTTGAGGCGCATTGGTTGAATCAAGGATAAGCTGGATTAGAGTAATACCTCAAAATAATCTCCTGCTTTATCATCCATTATATATGATACAATTTTATGTGTGTGGCATCATCGAAATTACCCGGCTATTTTAGCAATCTGAAGGAGGTCCCTAAGCCTGATCGTCGCACGCTGACACCCCAGGTGAAGAAGTCGATGTAACAGATTCTGATAAACATGAGCCATTAGAAAGAATTAACGTAAATTGCGCGTATATACATATAAACACAAAGCTGGAGTCGTTTCTCCGCCGCTTGGATATGATTTCATAATAAACTCGCCAGCTACTCGTCATCTGTTTCCTCCCCAATGTTGATACGAACACTGTGTTTGGCCAACTGTTCGTCAGGGCTTGCGTCATTATCATACATTGTATAGTCCATTTGCTAAAAGGCTCCGGCACACGAGTTTCTGACCTCTTGAGCGACTTTCTGATGATTCTGTGCCAATTTATGATAAAACTTAACTCGTTCACTTTGGACTGGTGTGTACGATTGCAGTAAACCATATCACAGTTTCGTTTTCGAAAGTTAAATGTACAGCTGTGGACAATGCCCGTAAAAATGAAAATGTCTCTGTATTTCCTGACATACCTCCCTCAGTGACGGCTCTCATATATGCACAATAAAACTACAACCCTTACCAATTTAAAAAGAATTATATGGAAACTAGATTTACTTGTTTTCTCTCCCCAAATATGTGTTTTCCCTGTCCTTCGCAGCACGGTCGACGTTGTGTTTCTGTAAGTGGATATTTTAATGGAAAGACGCCCCGTCGGTAGAGATTTGTTCAAACTGTCACGTTGAGTTCTTTTCATTTTTAACCGGCGACGAAACGGCGTTTTTCGGGTGGCCTGACCCCCATGCATGAATAACAGTTTCAAGCATCCAACATAATCCCTTAATCTAACGAACTGGAGGAGACAGAAATTAACGCACACGTTTTCATATTTAGAGATCGATAGACTGGTCTGAGAACCACCATATCAAACAATTTACCGATTGCACCCCTTTTTTTCCTCGTGCACATGCATCAGATCTTTTAGAAGATTAGGCAAATAAATTGACAGTTTTGTTCTACAAATAAGTGACTTTCCTTTTATTGGTTTAAACAAAGTGATTTTTCTAAATGCATATCTAGGAACAATGTATTTATGTAAAAATTCAATATTCACTTCATTATAATCAGCTTTTTTAATAATTCTAGTTTTAACTAATTTAAAAATACATTATGGCAAAAAGTTGTGTTGCAATATTTCATTAATTTCAGATTGGAAATTTTGATATTTGCTAGTGTTGATGACGGTCGGGTTCCTTATCCAGTGGCTAATTTTTTAAAAATTAATGTTACTAGAAGCATTTTAACTGGCGTTATGTACACACGACGAGTAAATACACCAACAAAATGAAAATTGAATTAAACGTCCATTAACCCATACTTAGACGTAACAAAGGTACATATGCAGAACCTGTGACGACCTAAACTACTGATTGAAATAGGAAATAGAATGCTAAAATTAAGCAAAACAAAAATGAAGAGGGAAAGAAAGGAATTCACGAAAAAGGTAAGAAAAACGCAGAGAATTTAGTAACACATACACACACTATCAGACATAAAATAACAGAAATTATGTCAACGCATACATTATCTATAAAAATATACACTCATCATTGTCATAGTCACAAGATTCTTCCGGAATGGCAACTGCACCAAATGTATTTATTCAATCATGATAAGAAAAAGATGAGCTTAATATATAAAAAAATGCCTCACGGGACCGTGCTGAGAGAGAGAGAGAGAGAGAGAGAGAGAGAGAGAGAGAGAAAAGTAAAGGTTCAGACTAGAGTTCCCGACTTTCAGATAAAAAGGAATGAAATAAAAAGAACAATGAATATGCCGCAGAGTTTTGAACGTAGTAGAGGTTCGGAAAACGGAAAAGAAATAGAAGGTGAACGACACACGCGTAACAAAACACGTAACGCGATAGCACTCCGAGATTTTTAAATCAGATTGTTAAAACAGCAAATAATGTGTTCAAAATCCAGATACTCTGGTGTACGTACTTCCTTATTGCACCGACCAGACGCGAAGAAACCCTAACGCTGCTGCGAGAAACGTATTTGTTATCCTTACAGGCGCTCAGAAAATGCAGGCTTCCTTTTACTAACCAGCCGGTTAGATATCATGAATATAGACAAACATTAGATCAGCGTCTTAGTTTACCTGACACATCGGCATGTTACTTCATTTAGCGTTGTTAATGTGGACAGTAAATAAATAAACATGCACCGGAGACGGCTACGTGATACTGACAAGGGATCACACCATTCTTGGAATGTTGCTCCCACAAATTACCTTCACGTTAAAAAATGCTCTCATCTCATTTCCTCTATATTCATATTGCCACTTTTATTCTCATCTATATCTACATCTGTACTGAAACAAATGATTAATGCTACTCTAGATGTCAACCATGAAGCAATTCTCATATGCTTTACGAAAAAATCACCAATATCACTCTTCTCTTACTTAACAAGTATCGTTGGTGAAACAGCTAAACCTGCTATGTTTTCGTGTTGTCAAACCGAAGAACCAATTATCCAAAAGATCTTTTGTTTTAAAAACAAGGTAAACGAACCTAATTTTCCATTAATCGTGTCTCTGTTACCATGACATCCAGGTCTGTATCCCAACCCTATGAATTTATATTACCATCACCAGAGACAAACATTGTAGCTGCAGGCCTGTGTGTGTAGAAGAGTACAATAAAACAGCTCCAGGGCTGTCACACAATGCCACTCAGTTGTTTGCTAACATTCACGCACATGTCATGACCGGTGTGTGTGTGTGTGCACCAGGGATTCTAGGGAACGTCACTCAAGGGTTCCTCAGTAACTAAACCAAGAGATAAGACGAAAGAGTAGTCATACTTGCTAAAAAGCCGTGCACCGTATAACCCCGGTGAATAGACTTGAACATTAATATTGGGGTTTTTCTTTAGATTTCTAAGCAAAAAGATGTGCAAGGGTGAATCAGTTATATAATGCGTTAGATGCGTTTCAATCGTGTATGGATGTGTTTATGGTAGATTCAAGACATTTTATATTAGCAGCACAAAAAATTTACACATTCTATGGCCGTTAAATAGAGATTCTCTTTTCCTTTCAAACCAAGCCAAAGGGTTCCTGAAACGGACAAAATAGCACAGGGCGTATAATGCAACTGTGGATGTACACAAAACAGTATCCTTAGCGGATGGACATAGAAATTTAAAGCAATTTGTTTGAAAACTTATTGACAATGTTTTTATAAACTACCAGACGATTGGTTCAATACATACGTCCGGTCGTCATATGACTTTTGTTTATTTACAAATATTGCGACCTCCCTATAGCGAAAATAACTTAATGGAGATTCGAAGGGTTGTGTTTTAAATAACATCTAAAGTTCACGGAAATCGCTTAAACCCATTTGAACAAACCTACTACATTGAGGATAGAATGTTCTGCCTAAAGTACACACACGCACACAAAATGTGCACTGAGATATATGTTTAGCTTTCAATAAGAAAAGATGTCTCTGAAGACCTAAACTAAATACGTTTTAGGTTTGTTTCATGCAAAATGGAGAAATATATAACTCGGAAATGTACGCGCTAGTACATTTTACTTAAATATATTGGATCCTATTAATCTCGTGCCATGGTATTGATGCTAGTAAGGATTATTGTGTTTGTTGGTGATTGCGGTAGCGGTGACGACTGGAAAGTACCACATATCCAGACACAAAGCACAACAGCTGCCTAACCTGCTGCAATCTGATATCACGGAGGCTAGACAAGACGTAACACGTTTCTTTATATTGTTTCTCCCTAGGTAAAGGCGGGGCTATAATTTTGCCATAGCAATGATTGCATTAGTCGAATATCTTAACTTTCACTCTCTGAAATAGCTTGTAGCAGTTGTATGTATATAGATATAAAGAAATACCATCCGGCGCGTGTAAGTGTAACAGAGTAATAAAATACATGAATATTTGTGATATTTTTGAAAGCAAAATTTTGCCGTATATATCCATTTACTTATGCAGGGAGGATAAAAACACTACCGAACTTTCTGTATATTGTTACTTTTCATGAAGTACACACATAATGATCAATAGGCAGATTCGTTTAATACAACTACAACTGTACATGTTTTTTTTTTCCGTAGCAATTCTGACTCAACAGAATTTGTGACATAACATCCCTGTAACACTCAATGCAAAACAGTTATGTAGTCTCTCTCGTCGGCACTTTTACGTCCGGAAGTTTCTCCTTATTGCAGCGTGGTGGTTTAGGAAGGAAAATATTCCACCTTGTGTAGCATGGTTGGGTCTTGGTCAAGACTGAGTAAAAGAAGTCAACACATATTCATAGGGATCCAAGTTGTGGTTCGTCCATTTGGGTATGTTATTCAGTTCCTTTCAGTACTCTGTAAGTATACATAAAGCAATCGGTAAGATCACGATAAGCAGTGCGAGGTTTGGCAAGAAGTATCACTTTGTGTTCGGATTCTATCTTTGGCAGTGTCTGTTTGAAATCAACTTCATCTGGATCTTCTGCGATGTCGACGCGCAGGGTGAAGACAATAATACCATTGTGTTTGGTGATCCTGATCAGCTCATCTAACGCAGCGGGACCGGGTTGCTCAATAACTCCAACACATACCACTGCATCATACTGGTTCGACGGCAGTTGGATTGGGATAGGACCGCTAAGAATATCGACATACATATTCCTGTATACACCTTTTTTCTCGGCAATTTCAAGCATCTCAGGACAGATATCAAGTGCATCCAGGTTGTTATATCCTAGTTGTTGGAGACATTCTCCAACCAACCCCGTCCCTGCACCTGCATCTAGTATTCGGGCATCTTTGACTTTCACCCATTTTCTCAGTGTCTCAGCTGCTATCTTGGGTGCCACGTATCCCATGTTATCTGTAAGTTCCTTGTCGTAGCGAGTAGCCCACTTGGAGTAATGATTACGTGTTTTTTCGTGAGGACTGCAAGGACTTAATCCAGCTGACTCCCAGTCCCTTTCCCAGTCGGTCTTCGACTTTTGTGCCATTTTTTGTTCTGAAAAAGAGGTAGGGTGAGGTTGTAGTTGTGTTTAAGGTATCTGAAATAAGTGATCATCGTAAAATGCATTCAGCGAGAGTTCCTGTAGAGTTGGATTGCTTTACATGGACCGATAGATTCAATGAGAATGAGCATTAGAGTCCCAGGTAAGCAATACTCATTAACTCATAGTACTATCATAATTGCGTTAACATACGATACCAAATTATTCTTGCAGTCTGCAACGTTAACATTGAAGCCTGGAATAAGATGTTTTAACATTTGCTCACTGTTTCTGCTTATGGCCAGAAGGCGCTGGTGACTGAAATGCCCAGTAGGCTAAAAACTTTTGGCACAGGCTGCTGCAGATGATAAAGTTTGCATCACCTGTTTGAATATCTGTCTCTGCAGCAGACCCAAGGCATTGGTATGGATTTAGGTCAATGAATAAGCAGGTAAAAATACCTTATCTGTACTGTATTCCGGTCACGAGTCAGAACAGACACATTTAACAACCGCCGTCTCACCTACTGCAATTTGATGTTTTAAACCTCTAAAAAAAGTTCTCAGAAAAGACTAAGATCTTTTTTCTTTGTAAGTAAATCTTAATCCTGGACAGAAAATAGAAAGCAACCTTATTCTCCCCCCATATATGCATAAACTTTTAAAAATGATTGGTTGCTAAAACAGAATTAAGTTACCGATTGAAAGAAAATTCGGACGAAGGAAAAGACGGACGAGGCCCAACATTATATGACCCGTTATCACGGGTGAATAAAACCTTCAGTAGGAAAGAACATTTTATCCGTTTTCCAGCATGTTACAATATATGTGTTTAAAGTAGATATAAAGACATGGATACCTAAAAAAGAGGTAAATTCACGGTATTTGACAAATTTTTGCAAAACTGTAATTGTAGGTTATTTTAGAAACTTGTATTTGCAAAAGCTGCTTTTTAAAATTATTTATTTATTTATTTTTCGTGACAATAAATGCCAGAGTTGCTTCATATAAGCAAGGGATACAAAGCGATGGGCGAGGAGGACATATATATTGTCCGAGTAGGATGCCATCAGTGGAGGTATCATTAAGGTTCTTTCAGTACTCTGTAAGAATACATAAAGCAGTCAGTCAGGTCATGATAAGCAGTGCGGGGTTTGGATAGAAGCGTCACTTCGTTTTCAGATTCTATTATTGGCAGTTTCTGTTTGAAATCGACTTCATCTGGATCTTCAGCGATGTCGACGCGCAGGGTGAAGACGATAATACCATTGTGTTTGGTGATCCTGATCAGCTCATCTAACGCAGCGGGACCGGGTTGCTCAATAACTCCAACACATACCACTGCATCAAACTGGTTGGACGGCAGTTGGATTGGGTTAGGACCACCAAGAATATCGACATACATATTCTTGTATACACCTTTTCTCTCAGCAAGTTCAATCATCTCTGGACAGATATCAAGTGCATCCAGGTTGTTAAATCCTAGTTGTTGAAGGCATTTTCCAACCAATCCCGTCCCCGCGTCTGCATCTAGTATTCGGGCATCCTTGTTTTTAATCCATGTTGCCAGTGTCTCTGCCGCTTTGCGAGGTGCCACGTAACCTATTTCATCTGAAACCTCTTTGTCATATTGAGCAGCCCTCTTGGCGTAATGATTACGAATGTCTGTGGGAGTACTCCTCCATTTCAATCCGAATGCTGCCGATTTGTGAGCCATTTTTCTGGAAAAGCAGTACAATAACTAAGTATATGGAAACTAATTTAGACTAAAAGGTATCAGAATATTATGTATAAAAATATCAAAGATGATATCTGCATAACATGAATTACTGCATTGCCGCCACTCACGGCACATATATTTAATAAATGTAAGGTTATGAGGTCAAACGCGTCAAACTCTTAGTACCTGTGTGGAAAAAATAGATACATAAAAATAAATAAAAAAATATATAAGCAGCTTCCTTTTTAGTGGGGTCGGCCATATTTAGTGGGCGGATCAATTAGTCCGCGGGTCATATGTTTAGAATGCACTCTAATACTCTGAATAAAGTAAATACTGCTTATGTGAAGAGATATTTCGGTTGGGTATGGTACGTAGTCAAAGTATTGAGCTTAATTATTGCCGAATTGTTGTTGGTTCACGTGAGAAGTTTTGTTCATTTGAAGGCTCTCGTTTGACAGAAAGGCCGCATTCACAACAGCGGACTAACTTGTCCGCGGATCAAATATGGACGACCCACTTGAATTCTTGTTACGTAATCCCCGCTGAGAATCTATTCACTGTTGATGACAGTGCGTATAGAATGGCGTTTGTATTAACCCGCTCAGCACCTGATGCTAATGTAGTAACAGGTAACGTGTACGGATACAATTATTTAAATCTGTGTGTAGAGATGGACTGGGTAAAAAGGAATGAATAAAGGGGGGGGGCGCTTGCACGAGAGCGTTTCCATAACTATGAAATTTATATTCTATTACGCGATACAAACAGTTTTTGTTCATCTGAAGAGACGAATCAGAACATGTAATGCTCACATCTACATCTAACTACTCTCTTATTCAAAATCCCTGCCTTGTAACATAACGTTAACATAAGATGTGCAAACTTCTTAGAAACATTCACCTCTGTGTATAGATTGACATATTTTCAATTTCTTTTTTACTGGGGAAATAGTAGTTACGCTTTTCAAATTCATTACAAAAAAGCACTTAACAAAAACAAAATATAAATCCATCACCGTCTAGGTTACTTATTACAGACCGAGGCGTCCACTGTGTGTGATATATAACGTTATAAGAGTGTAACAACCGAGGCGTTGCCGAATTGTGCAAGTATACAGTACCAGATCAATACATAAATGATGAAATTATGCTTACCGTGTCTGGTGTATGTTAATGGTGAATTTAACGTCCTCACAGCTGATCTAAAGACGTGAATAAACAGTCCAAATGAAGGTCATGGGTAAGATCAAAATGCCCCTGACCTGTTGTACTAACTGCTTGTTGTATTTGGTTGACCTGTCACACGGAGAGCGATCACAGTAAGTGACACTGGGTGATCTTTATTTCATTATTTGTGACAGTCGTACATGTACGAAAACGCCAAACCCAGCAGTCTTGATGCCAGTCTACAAAGTGCTAAGAAGGAAAGTTAAATGCTTTTATATCTTAGGGATCATTTCCAATGAAACTTTTGTTCTACGTAGATCGACCCAACTCCGCAGTGACTCTCGCTGAATGTAATCAGATTTGTATATTAGTAGGCCTCTTGTTTCCAACATACGCGTATAATCACCAGCCTTTCTGTAGTCTACTCATTGATCAACTCCAAGCGGAGGGGAAAAGAAAGAAAATCCGGACCTAATATAGCCTGCGACATGCTGTATTGGCCCTGGTTTGCAAAAATATAGAAGATAGAAGATAAAGGTAAATGTAATGCCTGTGTGAGATATCCAGAAGTCATAAAATTATAATTTCTTTTATTGGTGATCGGCATCTTTACAGTTTTAGGAGGATTATAGTCTTAGAAGTAAAATAAAAAAGATGTACAGTTTTCGATGTAGTACCCTAGTATTAAAATTACGTTTTGAAAAAAATGCTGATTTAGACAGTCTTTAACATGGAATGATACGAATTCAGGCCCGTAGCCAGCCATTTCAAAGGGAAAGGGGGTCTTTTATTGGAAAAGCGGATCTTTTACCATTTGTGATCCTAGAAGATATTGCACCCAGAGCGGACCCCCCCCCCCCCCCCCCCCCCCGGCTGTGGGCCTGTGAATGGAATAAAACAATGCATTATTTGAACATAGTGATCCGATTTTATTAATTATACAAAATGTAATGATGTGTCGACATAATAGTTATATTATTCCAACTAGTAGCTAATACCATAAAATAAGGTATTTGCAGGGGAAAATTTTGTCGACAACTCATCATTCGTCTATAAAGTTCTTATAAGAATTACCTGTTTCTAATATCTTAGCACAAAGGCCCTTAACTAAAATTAATTTCTTTTCTGTTCTATTGCCATAGCCCAAGCCATGGATGCATTCATGTACCAGATATTGAGCACTCGGGTTGTTTACTTTTTTATGATACAAATACATTCAAAACCACGCTGAACGTTTGTCTCTATGTTAAAACAAACTTTCTCAAACGAGTTCATACGAAAATCTAAGCGACACGGAATATTTACTGCAAAGCCATTTTTCTTTTAATTGGCATATTCTAAAATTAAACTGTAATGTCAAATTCCTAAGTCACAATTAACAACATATCTATCAAGATGCAGTGAGATATAGCACGTTAAACTTTATATGCGAAAACTTCAAGCTTGAATCCAAAGATCCCTAATTTCATAGCACAAAAAGCCACTATTCAGTATCCTTCAGCACCCGGTAGGAATACATAAAACAGTCGTAGGGTATACGATAAGCAGTACGAGGGTTTGCTAAAAGCTCCACTTTTTTCTCACTTTCTAACTGTGGCAGTTTCTGTTTGAAATCATATTCGTTATTAGGATCTTCGGCGACGTCGACTCGCAGTGTGAAGATGATAACTCCATTGTGCTTGGTGATCCTGATCAGCTCATCTAACGCAGCGGCTCGTGTATGGGAAATGGCGCCAATGATTAACAATGCATCATACTGGTTGGAAGGCAGTTGAATTGGAGTCGGTCCTCCGAGAGTATCCACGTACATATTTTTATAAATGCCTTTCTTTTCAGCAATTGCAAGCATCTCTGGAGAGATATCAAGTGCATCCAAGTTGTTATATCCAAGTTGTTGGAGACATTCTCCAACCAACCCGGTACCTGCGCCTGCGTCTAATATGCGTGCATCTTTATTTTTAACCCATTTTGCAAGTGTTTCAGCCGCTATCTTGTGTGCCGCATACCCCAGGTTATCCAAGCACTCTCTGTCATAGTCGCTATCCCAGCCTGCATAGAACTTACGGATTTCTTGGTGAGAACTTCTTGAACCAAGTCCAGATGAATCCCAGGAATGGTCCCATTTAGATTTTTGCGACGGATTTGCGACATTTTTTTTTTTGAAAGAGAACAAACAGTTTCACTTAAGAACATGTTCACAACAGTTTCCATTTAGGGGGCGGGGTAGTGATCACAGTTCACGGAAAATAATCATCAATTCACAAATCACATAAAATAAAATTCTATTTCAATATTAAAATATCTAACTGATAATGCAAGTCGAAAATCCTGAAAATCACGAATCCCCGACTATGGGCCCTAATGACTTCGTTTCACGAAGGAAGCAGCATTCACGAGTCATGGAAATAGTGTGCTAAATAGTATTAACTTTTTACGCATCTCGGGAAATAAAATGTGTTTTTCACAGGTATACCAGGGACCCTCTTATAACGAAATTACGGTCACACTGTCGAATGCCTACAATATACATGTACATGCAAGCGGGTTATTTGTACTGCCTGTGGTGCTCATCTCATTACTGACTGAAGAAAAAGTAAGATACTTCTGATGTACTGTCAGAAAACTAGAAGGGAAAAGGTCAACGCATTATAAAGAGCCCAAATAATATGTTTCTTTTTGTTTTCAAAAATCCTTTGAAAATACAGGGCGGAACCATCAATCTGACAGATCTGAATAAACCTGATAAACCCATGTTCTCGACGCTTACCGTGCTCCATTCCAGGATCCTCCAGATATGTGTGGTTTTTCTTTTTTCCGTTATATTACTTCACTCATGGGGCAAATGGTAAAATTATTACTTTGTTAGTATTTTTTTTATCTGTACCTTATGAAATTTCCAAATGATAAAAAAAAAAAAAACATTCATCCACTCAATGTCGAAGTTCTTGTGACATTGACGGTAATCTACGACGGACGTCTACAGTTGCCTATTCTCTTGCGTAATTGAAAAAAAAACTCACAAACTCACGTAATGTATAAATAACCCTAAATGACTGCTGACTCATCACCCCATACGTCTCCTTCTTCCAGATAAAACCTGTTTTTTGCAGTTTTCAGTCACATAAAAAAGACATTATTCGCCCAGTTTTCATCAGGCCTTACGACATTTTACAAATGTTTTTTTTCTTCCAAGTTATTTCAGACTTCAGTTTACACTTGGAGGATATAATACCTATTGTTCGGTTTCTAAATTTCGACCGTGACTAGGTCATGTGATCTTACACGATATACCGGTATTTGTACTGTATGTCACATCTACCACAGCCTTGGTTTTAATTCAGTCTTAATGTCTTCTCTTTTCCACCCTTAGTCCTAAACTCTGCATTTTATCGGTTAATAATTCTCACTGTAAATATATTAGATGATGCTCACTTGCTAAAAGTGTAAAAATTTCAACCTTAAACAAAATATTTTTACAGCAAAGAATTTGAAATACAGTATTTCACAAAAGATAAAATGATTAGATAAACATTATAATTAAACAGTTGGATAGCCTACCTTTGGATCGGGAGCACAGCACAAGAGTGTTACTGCCAATCGGAGTTTATGATAAAATAATTAGTCTGTCAACTTCTCTGATAAGCTTTTTTTTTTCTTTAAACAGCAAGGTACTTAAATGCAAGTAAGCATTTCTTTATAAGTGAACGTTTTGCAATGTGAACACTTTATCTTCATTTTTCCATTGAGTGATCTACAGCGTAAAACCTGTTTAATTGCTTTTCTACAAAATAAATCTGATTTATACTGTAGGTAATGGGCTGCACATTTTTGTTCAAACCACAAGCTAGCTTAATATTCGCCTTCCAGTGACTAAAATCTAAGGGCATGACCAAATTACATAAACCCTGTCTCACACATCAGCATCTACCGTTCCAAACAAAAATCTGTTAATGGCTCCGTGCATCTCTCTTAATTTGGGTATGGAAAGATACCACGGCCTAAAGTGGACCTGAGGTCAAACGAGAACCCTTATTTCGCTGTTCAATTAGATTGGAATCCATAAATTAAACACGTAATTATATGAGTAAAGATGTTTTTAAAAAACGAGAGCATCAGAGAGGCGATACCGCCTCCGGGTATTGTACCACCAGCTGGAGTAAGCTTATTCGTATGGAAAACAAACAAAAAAGGGGACACCACCTCCAGTGTTGTGCTTGACAAGCTCTACAAAATGCAGTAAACAAGAATTCTCAATTTTTATGTTATAAATTACAATCTATAACAAAATCATGGGGAAAAGTTAAAGGTCAAATCCAAAGAGAAGTGCGGTTCTTGGCGAAATGTAGGTCAAAGATTAAATTCAATGTCATAGGAAGACTGTCAATATATGAGTTCCTGTTCAAGTCCATTAGTATCTATAGGCATATCTGTGCCGGTTTTGGAGATATAAGGGACAGGAAATTAGCAAAGTTCAGTTCATGGTGAAAAGTAGGCCAAAGGTCAATTTCAAGGTGACAGTTTGTTTGCCAGTATATGACTTCAAATTCAAGTTCAGTAGTAACTGTGGGCGACTCTCTGCCAGTTTTGAAGATATAAAGGGCGGAAAAGTTGTAAAGTTCAGTTCATAGTGAAAAGTAGGCCAAAGGTCAATTTCGAGGTCACAGTTAGATTGCCAGTATATGACTTTCTATTCAAATTCAAAAGTACATTGTAACTATGGCCCTATCTCTGCCAGTTTTGGAGATATAAGGGATGGAAAATTTACAAAGTTCAGTTAATGGTGAAAAGTAGGTCAAAGGTCAATTGAAAGATCACAGTTTGATTCCCAGTATTGACTTCCTATTCAAGTTTAATAGTAACTATGGGCGTATCTCTACTAATTTTGAGAGTTATTTCACATTTTATTTTCACCACTGTATATTGCGACCTTGTACTCTTTGATAGAGCGCAACTTGTAAACAGTATGTAAAACAAAAAAAGAACAACACCTCCAGTATTGCACTTGACAAGCTCTGCAAAAAAAAAAAAAAAAAAGGTTTCTAAAATTAGGTTCCAGAATTAGAGCAAAATGGAGAAATATATACATCTGAAACGCACGTGCTAGTACATTTTACTTAAATTAATCTCGTGCCATGATATTGATGTTAGTAGGGGGTATTGTGTTTGTTGGTGATTGCAGTAGCGGTGACGGAAAGTGCCACATATCCAGGCACAAAGCACAATAGCTGCCTCACCTGCTACAATCTGAAATCACGGAGGCTAGACAAGACGTAACACGTTTCATTATATTGTTTCTTCCTAGGTAGTTATATGAAATATAATTTTGGCATAGCAATGATTGCATTAGTCGATTATCTTAACTTTCACTCTCTGAAATAGCTTGTAGCAGTTGTATGTATATAGATATAAAGAAATACCATCTGGCGCGTGTAAGTGTAACAGAGTAATAAAATACATGAATATTTGTGATATTTTTGAAAGCAAAATTTTTCCATTTATCCATTTACTTATGCAGGGAGGATAAAAACCCTACCGAACTTTCTGTATATTGTTACTTTTCATGAAGTAAACAACATAATGATCAATAGGCAGATTCGTTTAATACAACTACAACTGTACGTGTTTTTTTCCGTAGCAATTCTGACTCAACAGAATTTGTGACATAACTTCCCTGTAACACTCAATGCAAAACAGTTCTGTAGTCTCTCTCGTCGGCACTTTTACGTCCGGAAGTTTCTCCTTATTGCAGCGTGGTGGTTTAGGAAGGAAAATATTCCACCTTGTGTAGCATGGTTGGGTCTTGGTCAAGACTGAGTAAAAGAAGTCAACACATATTCATAGGGATCCAAGTTGTGGTTCGTCCATTTGGGTATGTTATTCAGTTCCTTTCAGTACTCTGTAAGTATACATAAAGCAATCGGTAAGATCACGATAAGCAGTGCGAGGTTTGGCAAGAAGTATCACTTTGTGTTCGGATTCTATCTTTGGCAGTGTCTGTTTGAAATCAACTTCATCTGGATCTTCTGCGATGTCGACGCGCAGGGTGAAGACAATAATACCATTGTGTTTGGTGATCCTGATCAGTTCATCTAACACAAGGGGACCGAGGTGCTCAATAACTCCAACACATAGCACTGCATCATACTGGTTTGACGGCAGTTGGATTGGGTTAGGACCACCAAGAATATCGACATACATATTCTTGTATACACCTTTTTTCTCGGCAATTTCAAGCATCTCAGGGCAGATATCAAGTGCATCCAGGTTGTTATATCCTAGTTGTTGGAGGCATTTTCCAACCAACCCCGTCCCTGCACCTGCATCTAGTATTCGGGCATCTTTGACTTTCACCCATTTTGTCAGTGTCTCAGCTGCTATCTTCGGCGCCACGTATCCCATGTTATCTGTAAGTTCCTTGTCGTAGCGAGTAGCCCACTTGGAGTACTGATTACGTGTTTTTTCGTGAGGACTGCAAGGACTCAATCCAGCTGACTCCCAGTCCCTTTCCCAGTCGGTCTTAGACTTTTGTGCCATTTTTCTGAAAAAGAGGTAGGGTGCCTTCCTAGCTGTGTTTAAGGTATCTGAAGTAAGTGATCATCGTAAAATGCATTCAGCGAGAGTTCCCGTAGAGTTGGATTGCTTTACATGGACCGATAGCTTCAATGAGAATGAACATTAGAGTCCCAGGTAAGCAATACCCATTAACTCATAGTACTATCATAATTGCGTTAACATACGATACCAAATTACTCTTGCAGTCTGCAACGTTAACACTGAAGCCTGGAATAAGATGTTTTAACATTTGCTCACTGTTTCTGCTTATGGTCAGAAGGCGCTGGTGACTGAAATGCCCAGTAGGCTAAAAACTTTTGGCACAGACTGCTGCAGATAAAAAAGTTTGCATCACCTGTTTGAATATCTGTCTCTGCAGCAGGCCCAAGGGCATTGGTATGGATTTAGGTCAATGAATAAGCAGGTAAAAATACCTTATCTGTACTGTATTCCGGTCACGAGTCAGAACAGACACATTTAACAACTGCCGTCTCACCTACTGCATTTTGATGTTTTAAACCTCTAAAAAAAAGTTCTCAGAAAAGACTAAGATCTTTTTTCTTTGTAAGTAAATCTTAATCCTGGACAGAAAATAGAAAGCAACCTTATTCTCCCCCCATATATGCATAAACTTTAAAAAATGATTGGTTGCTAAAGCAGAACTAAGTTACCGATTGAAAGAAAATTCGGACGAAGGAAAAGACGGACGAGGCCCAACATTATATGACCCGTTATCACGGGTGAATAAAACCTTCAGTAGAAAAGAACATTTTGTCCATTTTCCAGCATGTTACAATAAATGATGTGTTTAAAGTAGATATAAAGACATGGATACCTAAAAAAGAGGTAAATTCACGGTATTCGACAATTTTTTGCAAAACTGTAATTGTAGGTTATTTTAGATACTTCTATGTGCAAAAGCTGCTATTTTTATAAATTATTTATTTATTTATTTATTTTTCGTGACAATAAATGCCAGAGTTGCTTAATATAAGCAAGGGATACAAAGGCATTGGGCGAGGAGGACACATAGATTGTCCGAGTATAATGCCATCTGTGGAGGTATCTTTAAGCTTCTTTCAGAACTTTGTAAGAATACATAAAGCAGTCAGTCACATCATGATAAGCAGTGCGAGGTTTGGATAGAAGCATCACTTTGTTTTCAGATTCTATTGTTGGCAGTTTCTGTTTGAAATCAACTTCATCTGGATCTTCAGCGATGTCGACGCGCAGGGTGAAGACGATAATACCATTGTGTTTGGTGATCCTGATTAGCTCATCTAACACAGCGGGACCGGGTTGCTCAATAACTCCAACACATACCACTGCATCATACTGGTTGGACGGCAGTTGGATTGGGTTAGGACCACCAAGAATATCGACATACATATTCTTGTATACACCTTTTCTCTCAGCAATTTCAATCATCTCTGGACAGATATCAAGTGCATCCAGGTTGTTATATCCTAGTTGTTGGAGGCATTTTCCAACCAATCCCGTCCCTGCGCCTGCATCTAGTATTCGGGCATCCTTGTCTTTAATCCATGTTGCCAGTGTCTCAGCCGCTTTGCGAGGTGCCACGTAACCTATTTCATCTGAAACCTCTTTGTCATATTGAGCAGATCTCTTGGCGTAATGATTACGAATGTCTGTTGGAGAACTCCTCCATTTCAATCCGAATGCTGCCGATTTGTGAGCCATTTTACTGGAAAAGCAGTGCAATAACTAAGTATATGGTAATTAATTTAGACTAAAAGGTATCAGAATATTATGTATAAAAATATTAAAGATGATATCTGCATAACATGAAATACTGCATTGTCGCCACTCACGGCACATGTATTTAATAAATATAAGAATATGGGGTCAAACTCGCCAAACTCTTAGTACCTGTCAGGAAAAAAATAGATACATAAAAATAAAATAAAATAAAAATAAAATAAAGCAGCTTCCTTTTTAGTGGGGTCGGCCATATTTAGTCGGCGGATCAATTAGTCCGCGGGTCATATGTTCTGAATGCACTCTAATACTCTGAATTAAAGTAAATACTGTTTATGTGAAGAGATATTTCGGTCGGGTATGGTACGTAGTCAAAGTATTGAGCTTAATTGTTGCCGCATTGTTGTTGGTTCACGTGAGAAGTTTTGTTCATTTGAAGGTTCTCGTTTGACAGAAAGGCCGCATTCACAACAGCGGACTAACTAGTCCGCGGATCAAATATGAACGACCCACTTGAATTCTTGTTACGTAATCCCCGCTGGGAATCTTTTCACTATTGATGACAGCGCGTATAGAATGGCGTTTGTATTAGCCCGCTCAGCACCTAATGCTAATGTAACAAGTAACGTGTACGGATACAATTATTTAAATCTGTGTGTAGAGATGGACTGGGTGAAAAGGAATGAATAAAGGGGGGGGGGCGCTTGCACGACAGCGTTTCCATAACTATGAAATTTATATTCTATTACGCGATACAAACAGTTCATGTTCATCTGAAGAGACGCATCAGAACATCTAATGCTCACATCTAAATACTCTCTGATTCAGAATCCATGCCTTGTAACATAACGTTAATATAAGATGTGCAAACTTCTTAGAAACATTCACCTCTGTGTATAGATTGACATATTTTCAATTTCTTTTTTACTGGGGAAAGAGTAGTTACGCTTTTCAAATTCATTATAAAAAAAGCATGACAAAAACAAAATATAAATCCATCACCGTCTAGGTTACTTTTTACAGACGGAGTCGTCCACTGTGTGTGATATAACGTTATAAGAGTGTAATAATCGAGGCGTTGCCGAATTGTGCAAGTATACAGTACCAGATCAATACATAAATGATGAAATTATGCTTACCGTGTCTGGTGTATGTTAATGGTGAATTTAACGCTCTCACAGCTGATCTAAAGACGTGAATAAACAGTCCAAATGAAGGTCACGGGTGAGATCAAAATGCCCCTGACCTGTTTTACTGACTGCTTGTTGTATTTGGTTGACCTGTCACACGGAGAGCGATCACAGTAAGTGACACTGTGGGTGACCTTGATTTCATTATTTGTGACAGTCGTACGAAAACGCAAAACCCAGTAATCTTGAGGCCAGTCTACAAAGTGCTAAGAAGGAAAGTTAAATGCTTTTATATCTTAGGGATCATTTCTAATNCCCGGCTTTGATTCAGAAATTCGACGAAGCGTTTCAAAAAAGCGAGTCAATCTATTAGGGAGATGATTTATGTTTCATCAAAGACGGAAGAAAAATAGCACGGGGAAACTAACTAGGTACCGTGCCTTAACAACAAATAAACACACCTCGCGCGCGCGCGCTAATGACTTTTCTTAATTGGGCATTGCCTGCAAACTAGATACATATCGTTAATAATAGTTCCCTTGAGTATTAGAAATACATAATAATTTGGCATCTCCTCCCCCTTACACGAGATAAGGAAAACACCATATCGTGCAGCTGGAGATTTAGAGAAAAGCATCTGCTTCGTACAAGTCAGCGTAGTTTTGACGTGTTTTTCTTTGTACACTTTACATTTTTACAGACGCGCGTGATGACGGGTGCAGATGATGACATACCGCATGATCACATAAAAAGCATTGACGTTTGTTTTAAGACATTTTCTCAACTCACGCAGTAGGTCCATTTTGTTTGGGGATATTTTTCCGTTTCTAAAGTCCAATTCATTTCACGAAAAAAAACTCAATCGCAAATATAATAATACTTTTATATTTGATATAAAGGTGTTATTATTATTATTAGTATTATTATTTATTTCCTTTTTTATAATATGTTTTTTTTTAATTATAGAGCTGAAGTATGAGTGGAACATTCTTTTATGTCGCTCTAAAATGAAGCCAATAAATTTTTAAAATAAAAGTTACAACAACAAAAATCATTGCCTTTTCATAGTGCTTTAACTCTATGTGCGGATAATAAACCTTGATTTTACTTTAAATCAAAGCGTGTATGTTAATGAGATGTAAACTTCCAGAGGTTTTGGCATCAAAGGGGACGCGGGAAACGACTGAGCATCTTGTAACATATATTTATATTCATACAAATCAGTTATCAGAAGACAAAAACGTTCCACAGACATATCCGATAATGCTAAGAGTTATCGTTGAGGCGCATTGGTCGAATCAAGGATAAGCTGGATTAGAGTAATACCTCAAAATAATCTCCTGCTTTATCATCCATTATATATGATACAATTTTATGTGTGTGGCATCATCGAAATTACCCAGCTATTTTAGCAATCTGAAGGAGGTCCCTAAGCCTGATCGTCGCACGCTGACACCCCAGGTGAAGAAGTCGATGTAACAGATTCTGATAAACATGAGCCATTAGATAGAATTAACGTAAATTGCGCGTATATACATATAAACACAAAGCTGGAGTCGTTTCTCCGCCGCTTGGATATGATTTCATAATAAACTCGCCAGCTACTCGTCAGCTGTTTCCTCCCCAATGTTGATACGAACACTGTGTTTGGCCAACTGTTCGTCAGGGCTTGCGTCATTATCATACATTGTATAGTCCATTTGCTAAAAGGCTCCGGCACACGAGTTTCTGACCTCTTTAGCGACTTGCTGATGATTCTGTGCCAATTTATGATAAAACTTAACTCGTTCACTTTGGACTGGTGCGTACGATTGCAGTAAACCATCTCACAGTTTCGTTTTCGAAAGTTAAATGTACAGCTGTGGACAATGCCCGTAAAAATGAAAATGTCTCTGTATTTCCTGACATACCTCCCTCAGTGACGGCTCTCATATATGCACAATAAAACTACAATCCTTACCAATTTAAAAAGAATTATATGGAAACTAGATTTACTTGTTTTCTCTCCCCAAATTTGTGTTTTCCCTGTCCTTCGCAGCACGGTCGACGTTGTGTTTCTGTAAGTGGATATTTTAATGGAAAGACGCCCCGTCGGTAGAGATTTGTTCAAACTGTCACGTTGAGTTCTTTTCATTTTTAACCGGCGACGAAACGGCGTTTTTCGGGTGGCCTGACCCCCATGCATGAATAACAGTTTCAAGCATCCAACATAATCCCTTAATTTAACGAACTGGAGGAGACAGAAATTAACGCACACGTTTTCATATTTAGAGATCGATCGAGTGGTCTGAGAACCACCATATCAAACAATTTCCCGATAGCACCCCTTTTTTTTCCTCGTGCACATGCATCAGATCTTTTAGAAGATTAGACAAAAAAAAATTGACAGTTTTGTTCTACAAATAAGTGACTTTCCTTTTATTGGTTTAAACAAAGTGATTTTTCTAAATGCATATCTATTAATAATGTATTTATGTAAAAATTCAATATTCACTTCATAATAATCAGCTTTTTTAATGATTCAAGTTTTAACTAATTAACTAAAGTTAAGTTTTAAACTTAAAAATAACTTATGAAAAAAAGTTGTGTTGCAATATTTCATTAATTTCAGAGTGGAAATTTTGATATTTGCTAGTGTTGAGGACGGTCGGGTTCCTTATCCAGTGGCTAATTTTTTAAAAATTAATGTTACTAGAAGCATTTTAACTGGCGTTATGTACACACGACGAGTAAATACACCAACAAAATGAAAATTGAATTAAACGTCCATTAACCCATACTTAGACGTAACAAAGGTACATATGCAGAACCTGTGACGACCTAAACTACTGATTGAAACAGGAAATAGAATGCTAAAATTAAGCAAAACAAAAATGAAGAAGGAAAGAAAGGAAATCACGAAAAAGGTAAGAAAAACGCAGAGAATTTAGTAACACATACACTTACTATCAGACATAAAATAACAGAAATTATGTCAACGCATACATTATCTATAAAAATATACACTCATCATTGTCATAGTCACAAGATTCTTCCGGAATGGCAACGGCACCAAATGTATTTATTCAATCATGATAAGAAAAAGATGAGCTTAATATATAAAACAATGCTTCATGGGACCGTGCTGAGAGAGAGAGAGAGAGAGAGAAGTAAAGGTTCAGACTAGAGTTCCCGACTTTCAGATAAAAAGGAATGAAATAAAAAGAACAATGAATATGCCGCAGAGTTTTGAACGTAGTAGAGGTTCGGAAAACGGAAAAGAAATAGAAGGTGAACGACACACGCGTAACAAAACACGTAACGCGATAGCACTCCGAGATTTTTAAATCAGATTGTTAAAACAGCAAATAATGTGTTCAAAATCCAGATACTCTGGGTGTACGTACTTCCTTATTGCGCCGACCAGACGCGAAGAAACCCTAACGGTGCTGCGAGAAACGTATTTGTTATCCTAACAGGCGCTCAGAAAATGCAGGCTTCCTTTTACTTACCAGCCGGTTAGATATCATGAATATAGACAAACATTAGATCAGCGTCTTAGTTTACCTGACACATCGGCATGTTACTTCATTTAGCGTTGTTAATGTGGACAGTAAATAAATAAACATGCACCGGAGACGGCTACGTGATACTGACAAGGGATCACACCATTCTTGGAATGTTGCTCCCACAAATTACCTTCACGTTAAAAAATGCTCTCATCTCATTTCCTCTATATTCATATTGCCACTTTTATTCTCATCTATATCTACATCTGTACTGAAACAAATGATTAATGCTACTCTAGATGTCAACCATGAAGCAATTTTCATATGCTTTACGAAAAAATCACCAATATCACTCTTCTCTTACTTAGCAAGTATCGTCGGTGAAACAGCTAAACCCTGCTGTGTTTTCGTGTTGTCAAACCGAAGAACCAATTATCCAAAAGATCTTTTGTTTTAAAAACAAGGTAAACGAACCTAATTTTCCATTAATCGTGTCTCTGTTACCATGACATCCAGGTCTGTATCCCAACCCTATGAATTTATATTACCATCACCAGAGACAAACAGTGTAGCTGCAGGCCTGTGTGTGTAGAAGAGTACAATAAAACAGCTCCAGGCCTGTCACACAATGGCTCTCGCTTGTTTGCTAACATTCACGCACATGTCATGACCGGTGTGTGTGCACCAGGGATTCTAGGGAACGTCACTCAAGGGTTCCTCAGTAACTAAACCAAGAGATAAGACGAAAGAGTAGTCATACTTGCTAAGAGGCCGTGCACGGTGTAACCCCGGTGAATAGGGTTGAACATTATATTGGGGTTTTTCTTTAGATTTCTAAGCAAAAAGATGTGCAAGGGTGAATCAGTTATATATTGCGTTAGATGCGTTTCAATCGTGTATGGATGTGTTTATGGTAGATTCAAGACATTTTATATTAGCAGCACAAAAAAATTTACACATTCTACGGCCGTTGAATAGAGATTCTTTTTTCCTTTCAAACCAAGCCAAAGGGTTCCTGAAACGGACAAAATAGCACAGGGCGTATAATGCAACTGTGGATGTACACAAAACAGTATCCTTAGCGGATGGACATAGAAATTTAAAGCAATTTGTTTGAAAACTTATTGACAATGTTTTTATAAACTACCAGACGATTGGTTCAATACATACGTCCGGTCGTCATATGACTTTTGTTTATTTACAAATATTGCGACCTCCCTATAGCGAAAATAACTTAATGGAGATTCGAAGGGTTGTGTTTTAAATAACATCTAAAGTTCACGGAAATCGCTTAAACCCATTTGAACGAACCTACTACATTGAGGATAGAATGTTCTGCCTAAAGTACACACACGCACACAAAATGTGCACTGAGATATATGTTTAGTCTCTGAAGACCTAAACTAAATACGTTTTAGGTTTGTTTCATGCAAAATGGAGAAATATATACCTCGGAAATGTACGCGCTAGTACATTTTACTTAAATATATTGGATCCTATTAATCTCGTGCCATGGTATTGATGCTAGTAAGGATTATTGTGTTTGTTGGTGATTGCGGTAGCGGTGACGACTGGAAAGTGCCACATATCCAGACACAAAGCACAATAGCTGCCTAACCTGCTGCAATATATCACGGAGGCTAG